TGGAAATGGATATTTTTAATTAAATTGTATTAAGAAAAACTTCATCTTTCTTTCTTTCTTTTGAATAAAAAGGAAGTTAATTGAATATATGATGTTTTGGTTTTTTGGATTTAGACAATTTAGTTTAAATGTAAGATGTCAGCGAGAGAAAGCTTAAAAATAAATTATATTTAGATTTCTTTCCCAATGTAAATCTTGGAAGTGTAAGTGAAGAACAAGGGGAAAGGTTCCATCAGGATATAAAAGAAATAAAAAAATGGTATCAGGGAAGATGGAATACGAATATGCTAGCTGATTACTGTTGGTCCTTCAAACGCGACTCTCAGTCACAAGCTTAAAAAACGAAAATCTAAAAAACCAAGCTTCTTTGAAACTAAATGATTTCTGCATTAGCTCACTTTCGTTTCGTTGTTTTTTCAAATTTTCTTAAGACATCATTTTTTTAATAAAACAAAAAAGTACTTTTAGAAATACAAAAAAAATATAAAAGAACAAAAATACTTAAAAAATTACAACAAATGGAGTGTAATTTAGATCGCCTCCCCGTAGTGTACTTTGGCAAGCAGAGTGTTATAAATCCTGTAGCTAAATGATCTTAACAAATACACAGTTTTAGTATTCTTTATAACATTTACTTCGAACGTCATTTCTTTACTGCATATAAAGCTTTTCCGATTTTTCTCGAACAACAAAATTCATAATTTTTTAAAAATTTTTATTGACTTTCGTATTGAATTAAACCTATACACTTGAATTTTTTAAATCTAACTTTTTATTCGTACTCAGCAACCCCAACAACCCCGCTTAAACGTTTCATTGAAATAGACGGAGTTTTAAATATTTTTGTTTTATTAACATTTTCTTCTTGCACCCCTAGATATAAACACACCCCCTGCTTTAAGGGTGCATGCGATCAAATCGTCATAGGGCTCATGTGAAAGGGCATGGTTTAATTTTTAATTTCTGATATTAGCGAAGTTTGTAGCACGTCAGGATTTAGCTGTATAATTTTTTTAAAAATGGCCAAAAACGCAGTTTTTAGGGGTTTCAATCCCAATTTTCTCTAAAACGTGACGCGATGGGAAGTTTTCAAGCCCTGCACTGTAAATAAAGCTTCTAAATTAGAGCTGATTTTCGGTATTAAAATAGAACCAAATCTCGATTTAGTACCAAAAATTGGTACTGAATTAGTACCTTTCTTTTTACAGTGTGATTCGTGTTCAGCACAAAAAGTCAGTTCGGGAACACTATACCACATTCTATTCGCAGAATTCTTGCAGGGCAGCGATATTTAAATTTATTTATTTTAAAAACAGATTACTTTAATTACATTTAATACTTTATTTTAATTATTTGAGTTTAATAGGATATTTTTAGAAATTAAATATTACAAACTAAAAAATAAAATAGGTTTGATTTATAAAATTTTTAAAACCATTTTTTAAATTATTTTCAGAATATATGTAATTTAATCAATTTTTTGTTATTATAAAGTTTCTTATAACTAATTAATTGTTACATTATTCAATATGAGTATTTATAATTAATAATAAGTAATACATTTGTTAATTTTTATTGTATTAAATTATAAAAGGATTCTTTATTTGAAGTTATATTATCTTCGATTCATTTAATAATAATTATAAAAAATTAATTAAAAAATGGACTAATTAATACCTAATAAAATTTTTATTTTAATAAATACATTAATAAACTTGAATGTACTACTGAATTAAAATGTAGTTTATAATTATAAATTATAGAAGAATTTAATAATGTTTATTCAAATTACGACATCAAAAACATTTTTGGATTTGAGTGTTTCTGACATAGAAGTTCGTTTTGTCAAACAATTCAAAATGACAGTTTAGTTGTCAAGTCAACTGCAAAACAAAAATTTCGTTCGTCTAACGGTTCGTTTCGTCCGAATCAATCACTTGTGATTTGTCTTACTTTTTTATATGTCCCAAAAAAGTAACATTTGTTTCATAGGCTTATTTGTATCGAATTTTTTATAGAATTGATATTTTGACGAGACTTTATCTACATACGTTTCTTTAGAAAATGCAAGTAAAATGTATAAAAATTTTAAGTTACTTTTACAATAAAAAAATAATTCTTATATATAAAATATATACTAGATATTATTACAGTAGTGTTACAGTAATGTCACCGTAATAATACGAAAAAAGATCACCTTTCATATAACAAGAATTGTTTTTATCTTTCTTTGCGATAATACTTTCACATTACTGCAATATTACAGTAATATTATCATGTAATGTAACTACAATAACTTAAAATATCACATTGGGGTGGACATGTTAATGTTATTGAAATTTCATTTTTGTATTACATTGGTTTATTAATAACATTACATGGAACATTACGGTCACATTACTGTAATGTCATGTGTTACTTAGGTGATATTTAAGAATACCCTGAATGTTTCCCATTTCTATACAATTAGGGTATCCCTAAGATATTTATACTCTCTAAATTTGAATCAGTGATAAGTCGCTGATTGGGTAGCTATAAGTATGTAGCTGATTCTATCAGCGTATATACACTAATGAATCAGCAAATAGTCACTGATTTTTTAGCTTATATACACTGATTAAATCAGCTGCATACTTATAGCTACCTAATCAGCGATTTTCCGCTGATTCATATTTATGTTTATAGGGGATATCTAAGATATTCTACGATATCTGTAGGATATTAAAATTCATCGCTCTACTGGATATTCAAAATATTTTATGTGAACATTTTTAAGATATTAAAGCATATGAAAATTACTTAAATGTATTGTGGAATTTGTGGGATTCATTTCTAAATGATTGACATATTAAAAAAAATTGAAGTGCTCATTTGAAGCGTTTTTGTTTAAAAGAAGCATAATAATCTTTTATAGTTAAAAAACAAATAATGGGCGCGCGTAGCGCGCAAAAGTTGTACTAGTATATAATGAAATTATTTAAACAGAACAAAAAGTTTTTTTTAAACTAGAAAACTAAACAAAATATTAAATAGAAAAAATTTAAATAATTTCCAATTATATGTAATGAAATTATTTAAACAGAACAAAAAATTTTATTTTAAACTAGAAAACTAAACAAAATATTAAATAGAAAAAATTTAAATAATTTCCAATGATATATAATGAAATTATTTAAACAGAACAAAAAATTTTTTTTAACTAGAAAACTAAACAAAATATCAAGTAGAAAAAATTCAAATAATTTCCAATTACCAAAAGTAATATATGTATACATACATACATACATACATATATATAGTTTATATACATATATAACAATAAGCATTCATTGCATGCTTTGAAAATTTATTACATTAAAAAAGTGCCGGATTGTTTTCTACATATGTAGCTAACCTAAAACAATTAAAATAAATAATTGATGTATTATGCAAAAAAAATTATAATTTAAATAATGTAAGTAACTTAAATGTTACAACTAATATTAAAATGAAATACCTTTTACTTTCCTCAATTTCCATAAGATTAATTTCAATTGATGAAGATAGCACGTAGGAAATGTAGTTTTTGTTATTGAAATTTCCAATTTTTCCTCCTTTAATTAGTATTATGTCTTTTGGCTTGAGCACAATTTCCTTTGCAAATTGATTCCAAAATGACAACTGAAGCTGAAAATTTTGAAATATAAAAAAATGAAATATAATTATTACTCATTATTTAAATATTTAAATAATAAATACTTACACTGTAAAAAAATTTAGGGAGTTAACGGACTCGGGAGTTGGGAGTGAAATTTTTCGAGTTAAAAATCAACTCCAAAAGAGAGTTAATTTCTAACTCCCTTCATTCAACACCCGCGCGAGTTATTTTTTCCTTGGGGAGTTAGCATTTGGGTGTGAAGTTTTAACTCTCTTTATTTAACTCCCCTGGCATTAACTCCCCAATGGGTGCGACTTTTATAGACCTTCCGGGGGGAGTTAAAATTTAACTCCCTTTTTTTACAGTGTACCAAATTCTTATTTCTATCTGTGATGTCAACAGTTTTTTTACTAGATCGTTTCAATTTTTTAATTTGATTTTTTCCGATTCATAAACGTTATTGACTATTCCGGAAACGTCTTTAAATTTAATTTTTAAAAATTATTATTTTTAACAAATTATTTAATTTAATAGATTTATTTATTTATTGAAGGAAATTATTTTATTGATGCAAATGATAATTTATTTGAGTCAAGTAATGTTCATATAATTAATTTAAAGCAATATTTGTTAGATCTAATTATTTCAATCATTTGACTCAAGTAATATGTATTTAGTACTAAAAACTATTTAATTGATACTATAAATTAAAATATTTATGTCCAGTAAATTAGTTCATTTGTTTAAGGGACCATTCAAGTATTACGTAAGCATTTAAGGGGGAGGTGGGGGGGTCTAGCTATTGCTTATTTCCATTAGAAAAAATGGCGCTAATGCATATAAAAAATCTTACATGTGGGAGGGGGGGTCTAAAAACCTGAAAAATATGCTTACGTAATACTTAAATGGCCCCTGAATTTATATAAATTAATTAAAATTTACTAATTTGTCATTATTATATTATTTACCCACGAAATTTCCCGCCTTCATTAGTTGAATTTGGTCAAACGACACAAATTGGTAATGACAGTTGGGTAGCACGACTTCTTCCTCATCTGCCACAACTGTAGAATTAATTGTTAATTGTATTTCAATTTCGTTGTTGAAGAAATTGAAGCTAGGATTCGTTTTTGCCACTGTGAAGTTTTTAATCAAATATTGCTTGCCAACCTATTTTATTTTTAAAAAATGTATAAAATTAATAATATTAAAATTTAATAAATCAAATTAAATATATTAAAATAAAAAGAATTTATAAATTATTATTATTATTATAAAATAAACACCTGGAAAAGATCAAAAAATTTGTCCACAGCATTGTCAAAGATTGTGCATCTGAAATACGCTGAATGATCCGTCATATCTAAAGAAAACAGTTTTCCTGTCTTATATATCTTTGTTTCAGATTTTTTAATAACACGACAACGAATTTTCCATCTGAAATAATAATAAATTAATATTTTATCAATATCTTTAAATTTCATCATTCGGAGAGACTGGGGCGAAAAGTTGAATTTTGTATAAATGATTTTTTTAGACAATATAATCCGATTATTGTTAGATGCAAATATTTGTATATCAATATTGTAGGGCAACTTGTCCCCTATAATTTTTATAAATATTATAATTATAAAAATTATAAAAAGTTTCATTCATTTAATACACATTGAGATTTAGTTACTTCAAAAAAATTATTTTTTTGATCGAAATAAATATTTATTTCAATTAAAAACCATGCATTATTGAATCAAATAATTTTTATAACTGATTTAAAACAATATTTATTAGAATAAACCACTATATTTATTAGAAAAATGATCCAGAAATTATAAATGCAAGTGATGATGAGACGGAAAAAAAATTACTGTTGAAAAAAGGAAAATTCAGAATTTATAAATTCTTTCAAAGAAATAACAGAAGTAATTAATAAAGTAATTAATTAATTAATAAAGTAATTAATTAATTAATTAATTATTCAAAGTATGTATATTATTATTTTATTATATTACTTAAATTACATTTCGTAAAGAATTTACCTAATTGTATTCAAAATAATTGAGCTCCCGCGTCCAATAACTCGATCTGCGCTTGAACTGAAAAATTCAAGCCAGTCAAGCCGTCAGAAAATGGAAAGAAATAAGAGTCGGAATTTTTAATTTTAAAACATACTACCGTATAGAGCATAAAAATGCCCAAATTTTTTGTCTTTGAAATTTTTTTGTAGGACTTTTATTTTTAATAATAATGAACAAAAACTGAATTTTTTTTATTCTTCAATTTCATTAAATTTCAAAACATAAATCGACTTTTCTCAAACAAATCTTAATGAAATGAATTAAAAATTGATATACTTACTTATCAGGGTCTACCGAAGACGATGAAATGATTGAAACATTAAAAAATGTTTATTGCAAAATTATTTGTTAATATAAATACAGACCTGTCGGTAAATACGTTTTCTCAACTTTGACGAGAAAAAGTGTGCGGTGAACTTTCGAGTTGACACAACTTCCAGTGAGACATTTGTTTATTAACATGTGAAGAAGTTTTCTGGAAATTTTTATTTAAATCGGATGAAAAATAAAGAAGATACATAATGTTTAAAAAAATATGCGTCGTGCGGCGTTTTGACATTTTGACGCAAGAGGAGAAAACTATTGGAAACTATTGCTATTTTCTGTTGATTTATTTAAAAATAAGTTTATTCATGTATTATATTTAAAATAAAAACAATTCTATACATTTATAATATGATAGGCAGTAAAAGATTTATTTAGATTTACAACGACAGGAAGAAAAATAGGAAAAAGTTAAACAAATGCGCGATACATAAAATTACCACCAGACGGCAGCACCTAATGGGCACATCTAATTTTCTCATTTTACTTCCTGACGTCGTGTATTAGATTGGATTTTCAATTCCTTGTGCACAAATGAAAGAACAAAATTTCAGTATAACTAGTATTTTTCCCTATTTTGCAATAATTGTCCAAATTGGGAGAAAAATCCTTTTGAAATTTCGTTTACGTTCAAGCAGCCATTTTTAAAAGGCGACCACTGTTTGAAATTGCGCAACACCGTTAATGTAAACAAAGCAGGTCCTTGTATTTTTTTGAAGAAAATACTTACTGCTGTTAAGTTTTTCAATAAACCACGTGTTTTAAAATTAAAAATTAATAGTAAAGTAATAATAAATAATTTAATAATATTAAAATATAAAGGGGATAGTGCGAGAGGCGAGGCAAATTATTGAAGATGCTTGCAACTACTCTATGCCTCGCCGGCAACATAGAAGAACTAGAAAGGGTGCTCTGTACTGGTGGGACGATGAACTCGCCCGCTTGAGAAAAGAATGCAATGCAGCGAGGAGGAGATATACTCACTCTAAGGGTGACCTCTTGCTTCAAGAGAAATGGCATACAGCTAGACGAATTTTCAAGCGGGCAATAAGGAATAGTCAACAAAGGTGCTGGAAGGACCTAATAGGAAAGTCCGAGAAGGATCCATGGGGTTTGGCGTTTAAAATTGTGACTAAGAAATTAGTTTCAAAGCAGAAAACCCCTGGCCTGGACGATCCGCATTGGGTCCGTAAGATCATAAAAGCGCTGTTTCCCCAAGTGGAACCTACCCCTAGAGAGGACTACACTCTCTGTGTAGTTCAAGAGGAGGAGCTCTTCACGCTTGATGAACTGAGAAGGGTGTCGAAGGGATTGAGGAGCGGCAAAGCTCCAGGTAGGGACGGGATACCCAGCGAGATCCTCAAAGAGGTGGTCGCTGTCTATCCCGAGCTGCTTCTCAACGTCTTTAACGCATGTTTAAAAGCTGGAGAGTTTTTCGGGGACTGGAAAACGCAGAGATTAGTCCTTCTTAGAAAAGGGGATAAACCTCTGGATAACGTCTCATCGTTCAGACCAATTTGTTTATTGGATACGATGGGTAAGTTTCTAGAGGGTTTGGTTCTAGAGAGACTTCAAAAATTCCTGGTAGGCGAAAATAGCCTATCAGAAAATCAGTTTGGCTTTCGGAAAGGCCGGTCAACAGTGGATGCAATTCTTACTGTGGTTAACCAGGCGAAGAAAGCCAAAGAGGGCAAGAAGAAAGGATTTTGTGCTCTTGTGTCCATTGACATACGGAATGCGTTTAATTCCGCGAGATGGGACAACTGCATCAAGGCGCTAAAACGTAAAGGGGTACCCACCTATCTGTTGCGAATGATAGACAACTATCTTAGCGACAGATGGGTGGTATACGAGAGCAATGCATGTCATCTCAAGGAAGAAATGACATGCGGAGCTCCCCAAGGATCAAAGGTAGGTCCATTCATATGGAACGTTATGTATGACGATTTCCTGAGGATGGAGTTACCCGAGGATACGTTTTTGGTCGGCTTCGCGGATGACGTAATTCTAGTGTGTTATGCACTGGAGACCAAAGTCCTTGAGATAAAGCTCACCGAAGGTCTGCGGCGGGCTGAGCGTTGGCTTAAAAAGCACAGCCTGCAAATGGCTTTGGAAAAGACCGAAGCCTTGCTCGTCACAGATCGGAGAGTTTTTGATGCTCCAAAGGTAAAAGTGGGAGGAATAGAAGTCTCATGGGGAAAAAATTTAAAGTACCTGGGAGTGCTGTTGGATAAAAGGTTAAACTTTAGCCAACATACTAACATCATAGCACTCAAAGCCGCCGAATGTATGCGCAGCCTATCACGGCTAATGCCTAACATCGGTGGTCCCAGGGAAAAGAAACGGCGCTTGGTGGCGACCGTGGGTCTATCAAAGCAGCTTTATGCTGCCCCTGCGTGGGTGGAAGCCCTTAAGACCCGCGGCATCTTGGACGAATTAATCTCTGTGCAAATTAGTTCGGCACGGAGAGTAGTCTCGGCCTATAGAACGGTGTCTGCTTGCGCTGTTCTAGTTCTTGCGAGCCTTCCGCCAACAGACCTGTTGGCGAGAGAAAGGCAGGAAGTCTTTTTACTCAACAAAGACCGAGATAGCTTGCAGGAACAAAGAAACAGCGGTAGCCGAAAATTGGCTATCCGAAAAGCGGCAAGAAGCAGACTCGTTGAAAATTGGCAAGAAAGATGGGATGGGGAATCCAAAGGAAGGTGGACATACCGCCTGATTCCTCACCTCGCCACCTGGTTACAAAGAAAGCACGGGGAAGTTGGCTATTACCTTACACAAGCATTGTCAGGGCATGGTTGCTTCGGTCAATACCTCCATAGATTCAAGATCAGAGAAGAGGCAAAATGTGTGTATTGCGACGCTGAAATTGACGACGCGGAACACACTCTCTTCTTCTGCGGGCAATGGAGTGAACTTAGAAGAGCCATGTTTGACGCGGTGAAAACTCAATTCACCGCTGACAACATGGTCTCTATTATGTTAAAAAGCGCTGAATCCTGGCACCATATCGAGTCATTCATTAATCTAATAATGAGGACTAAAGATATGGATGGCAGGAGGAAGTAGAAACGGAGAATCCTGAAGCTCAGCTGGGGGCGCGCGATGGCGGGAGGAGACAAACTTTAGTCTCCTCCCTCCCTCGCGTGCCTCCGGTTTATAGGATCCTGGAAATGGAAGAAATTTTTTTCTTAAAAGGGGACCACTGCTTGCGAAGTTAGAAGCCAAAAGGTAGTTCCGCAAGTGGATGTTATGGTCTGGAGTAAGGGTGTGGTTTTTAGTGGGTCGGCGTGAGCTGCCATCCCCACATAACCAAGAAGTACGGGCTTCTTGGTATCTGTTTGCAGATTTTCCACTTCCCTCGAAAAATAAAAAAAAAAATAATATTAAAATATAAAGTATAGAAATTGTACAATTGTATAGTATAGTAAGTTATAGTATAAATTAATAACAATTCTAAAGTATGGAATTGTTTTTATTTTAAATATAATACATGAATAAACTTATTTTTAAATAAATCAACAGAAAATAGCAATAGTTTCCAATAGTTTTCTCCTCTTGCGTCAAAATGTCAAAACGCCGCACGACGCATATTTTTTTAAACATTATGTATCTTCTTTATTTTTCATCCGATTTAAATAAAAATTTCCAGAAAACTTCTTCACATGTTAATAAACAAATGTCTCACTGGAAGTTGTGTCAACTCGAAAGTTCACCGCACACTTTTTCTCGTCAAAGTTGAGAAAACGTATTTACCGACAGGTCTGTATTTATATTAACAAATAATTTTGCAATAAACATTTTTTAATGTTTCAATCATTTCATCGTCTTCGGTAGACCCTGATAAGTAAGTATATCAATTTTTAATTCATTTCATTAAGATTTGTTTGAGAAAAGTCGATTTATGTTTTGAAATTTAATGAAATTGAAGAATAAAAAAAATTCAGTTTTTGTTCATTATTATTAAAAATAAAAGTCCTACAAAAAAATTTCAAAGACAAAAAATTTGGGCATTTTTATGCTCTATACGGTAGTATG